ATTATTTTATTTGGTCCTTGTAAAGTGAAAGTCGTTGTATATATTTTATATGACTTTGGAAGAAAAATATGATTCTGATTTATATATATATATTTATTAGTTTTATTTAATTATTCACACATGTACTAATTAACTCATTTATTCATTCAAGAACTCACACATGTACTCCGAGCAACTGATTTGATCAAAAATATATATGGTTTTGTAGGTACTTCACACGAATTAGTAGTTGTTTCTCAAAAGTTTGCCAGAAAATTTATTAATTTCAGTATTTACTAAAATAATACACATAGTAAAGAATAATATACTAAAATTTCAAGGTCGTAGGTCCTGCGTAGCTCGTTAAATAAATTATTTTGTCCGAGAAACTGATTAATTCATTTATTCATTTAATTCATTTTTATTGTGGACTTGGGCAGTGAAAAGGTGGAAAAAAATCGTGTGAAGTCAGTAGATTTTTTTTTGTTAATTGTTGTGTATTTTGTTTAATTTGAAATAATTTTTTGATTTTTGTATTTGTTGGTGTAATATACATATTTAAGTGTAATATAGGAAATTTACAAGGTTGTAGTACAAACGGTGCGCCTTGTAGATTTTTTTTAAGTTTGTACAGAATGAGTATGAATTATGGGAATGTTGGGTAGTTTGTTCAGAAAGTTATTAATATCTATATTCGTAGAACAAAATTTACTGTTATTGTGATTTTTTGGTAAAGTAGACATATTAGGGTATTTCATGCTTAAATTACAAGATTGTAGTACAAACGGTGCATCCTGTACATTTTTTTTTTAATTTAATAAATGCAAGTCCCAAAGCCTTTGTAAGACTTTTTTGTTCTTTACTCGTAAAATTGTCAATACTTTGTAAAGTATGATTGAGTTTTTAATATCACATGTTACAATAGACATATTTAAATATAGCATAATCAAATTACAAGGTTGTAGTACGAACGGTGCGTCCTGTATTTTTTTTTCAATTTTGCAGTAAGAAGTTATATCATTCTAAAATGTAAATGGCGCATTTGTACTTTGTGCACAAAGTTGCTAATATCTCAAAAAATAAAAACAAATTTATTAATTTTACTCTTTGTTAGTATAATAGACATATTAAGATATAAAACAACAAATAATTCATTTATCTACTCATTTATTTACTCAATAATTCATACACTTACTCATTTGCTTATTTATTGATTTGTTCATTTACTCATCCATTTTTTTATTTATTTGTATACTTATACATATATTAATTTACTTGTTTTTACATTTATACATATTTCAATTGATTTACTAATTTATGCATTCACTCATTTGCTCATTGACTCATTTATTAACTCATTAATTTTTGTGAACAAAATATATAGTCTCACTATTAATAACTCGTTACTTCAATCTTTATATGTTCACTCAATTACTCATTAACTCAACTACTCAAAAACTCATTCACTCAGTCACTGAGTTACTCATTAACTCATCCTCTGAAAATACTTATTTACTATTTCACTCAATTATTAATTTCGTAATGGACTAATTTTTTTACTGTTACTCAACCCTCTTTTATATATTTTTTTTTATCATTCTATGAATTGCTCATTTACTCACTAACTCATTTACTCATTTAGCATCCTTGTCTCACTGAATAATTTTTATATTCATAATCATTCATTAACTTTTACACATTCGCTCTTTGACATTTGCTCATACAGTTTTTCACTTTTACTCAATCTTTCACAAATTCTGAAAATCATTCTCTAAAACCACATTCGCTCATACTATCTTACTCATTCACTCATTTACTAACTAACTCATTTATTCATTCAATAATAATTCACACATGTACTCATTAACTCATTCATTATTTATTCAATAATTCACAAATGTACTATTCAACTCATTTATTTTTTATTCAATAATTCACACATGTACTCATTAGCTCATTTATTCATTCAATAATTCACACATGTACTCATTAACTCATTTATTTATTCAATAATTCATACAAGTACTCATTAACTCATTTAGTACTTATTCAATTATTCACACATGTACTCATTAACTCTTTTATTCATTCAATAATTCACATATGTACTCATTAAGTCATTTATTCATTCAATAATTCACTCAATTACTCATTAACTCAACTACTGAAAAACTCATTTACTCAGTCACTGAATTACTCATTAACTCACCCTCTGAAGATACTTATTTACTTTTTTACTCAATTATTAATTCGATAATGTATTAATAATTTTACTCTTACTCAAGCCTCTTTCATTTGTATTTTGAGCGATGATTCTTTGAATTGCTCATTTACTCACTAACTCATTTACTCATTTAGCATCCTTGTCTCACATTCACTCATTCATAATCATTCATTAACTTTCACACATTCGCTCTTTTACATTTGCTCATACAGTTTTTCACTTTTACTCAATCTTTCACAATTTTGCTCATCTTTTACTCACTAACTCAATTACTCATTTAGCATCCCTGTCTCACTGAATAATTTTTATATTCATAATCATTCATTAACTTTTACACATTCGCTCTTTGACATTTGCTCATACAGTTTTTCACTTTTACTCAATCTTTCACAAATTTGCTCATCTACTCATTCATTAAATTACTCATTTAACATTCACTCCTCACATTCACTAATTACTCATTTTAGATTTCTAAAATACAAAAATTCCCCCAAACTAAAATATCATTTTCCACAAGGACATCGTTTAACGAATCGCATCATCGTTTTCAAGGTTGTAATTTTCGGTGTTATCCTTGCCCAGTGTGTGTGTTTGTGTGTTTGTGTTCGATCACAGTGTCCGAGAGGTCCTTGAGGGTCATATAATATAATGGGGCCCTAAAATATACGCATGCCCATAAACCTATAAACGCATAAACTGAGGTTTCTGCGAAAAACATCCCTTCGCCATACGCCAGGGATAACCATGATATAATAATATAGACATATGTGTATATTAGGGTGGTCCTTAATATGGACATTTTTGAATTTCCTTGCTCCCATGGGCTCAAATGGTTCCAAATTTATGAGAAACAATTCTTTAAATACTTAAATATGTCTATTGAAACATGTAATATTAAAAATCCAATCATACTTTCCAAAGTATTGACAATTTTACGAATAAAGAACAAAAAAGTCTTACAAAGGCTTTGGGATTTGCATTTATTAAATTAAAAAAAATCTTCAGGATACACCGTTTGTACTACAACCTTGTAATTTAAGCATGAAATACCATGATATGTCTACTTTACCACAAAATTACAGTAATAGTAAATTTTGTTATACGAATATAGATATTAATAACTTTCTGAACAAACTACCCAACTTCCCCATAATTCACAATTATTCCATACAAACTTTAAAAAAAATCTGTAGGTCGCACCGTTTGTATTAGAACCTTGTAATTTGATTATGTAATACCTAAATACGTCTATTATAACGTGAAAAACTCAAATTACTAAATTTTGCCAAATTTTACAAGATATCAACAACTTTATGAACAAACTACACAACATCCCCATAATTCACACTTATTCCATACAAACTTCAAAAAAATCTGTAGGACGCACCGTTTGTACTACAAACTTGTAAATTCCCTATATTACACTTAAATATGTCAATTACACCAACAAATACTAAAATCAAAAAATTATTTCAAATTACTCAAAATACTCAACAATTAACAAAAAAAAAATATACTCACTTTTCACGATTTTTTGATAAAAATGAATTGAATGAATAAATGAATTAATCAGTTGCTCGGACAAAATAATTTATTTAACGAGCTACGCAGGACGTACAACCTTGAAATTTTAGTATGTTATTCCTCATTAAGTGTATTATTTTAGTAAATACAGAAATTATTGAATTTTCTTGCAAACTTTTGAGAAACAACTACTAATTCGTATGAAGTACCTACTAAACCATATATATTTTCCATCAAATCAGTTGCTTGCACAAAATAATTTATTTAACGAGCTACGCAGGACGTACAACCGTGTGAATTATTGAATGAATAATAAATAAGCTAATGAGTACATGTGTGAAAAATTAAATAAAACCAATAAATATATAAATAAATCAGAATCATATTTTTCTTCCAAAGTCATATAAAATATGTACAACGACTTTCACTTTACAAGGACCAAATAAAATAATAATTTTTATTTTTATTACAAACTTTATATATATTTATGTTTCGGCACACGACTCAAAATTTCAATCTTTTGTTAAATATTGTCCTTGTTTACCTGAATTTTACCTGCAATAAAATAATTTCGACAAATTTTTCAGGAAGTCGTAAAAATTTGGAAAAGGACTCTTGGTCACGTGCCAGAGAGTTTCTAAAATAATGGATTTTTTAAAAAATATTTATGGCACTTGTAAAAATCGGTAATAAATAATTATTTAAGCTTTAAATTAACTTTAACCAGTTTTGGAAAAAACTCAAAGTTACTAAATTAAAACCTTGATTCAAATAAATGAGGTAATGAGTAACGAGTGATAGTGATAAGTGAATTGAATAACAATTATATGACTCATAAAAAAATAAACCAATGAATAAAAAATAAATAATATAGATTAATCATTATACAGATTAAATCTATATTATTTATTTTTTATTCATATCGACTGAAAAAATGTATCAATAACCAACCATTAACCCTGACTTCGGGTGCCCTTTTATACCCTAAATTTCCAGTTTAACTCCGGATTATAATTAAAAAATCCGGCATTGATCTGTTGCCATACGTTACATGAAGGGTACTAAAAGGGGTACTACCAAGGGTTCCAAGAGGGATGAAACAGTACCGACGACTAGTGGTGAGAAAACGATAGAGTAAAGGTTAGTAGTTGTACTAAAAGGGGTTTTATTAAATTTTAATCGATTTTTATATCCATAGACTATAGTCCATGTTTTTTTACTAAGTTTTGTTTACTATTTATATATCAACATCCCAATATCGACAAAAACTCACCTTCATTTGAGCTATCTCGACCAAGCCATTGATCCTCTAACCCTCATCTTGCATCTCTTTCCTGTCTCTAACGATTTGTATGACGCCAGAGCGAGACAGCAAACAAAACCTATAAACAAATACATCGTCAAGGTACTAAAAAGGGTTTTATTAAATTTCTTTGAATTTTTATATCAATAGACAATTGTCTATTATTTTTACTAAGTTTTTTCTATTATTTATATATCAACATCCCAATATCGACAAAAACTCACCAACATCGAATTTCCGTCATCTGAGCTACCTCGACCAAGCCATTGAATGCTCTAACCCTTATCTTGCGTCTCTTTCCTGTCTCTAACGATTTGTATGACGTTAGAGCGAGACAGCAAACCAAACCTGTTCCCTCGTTTAGGTTTCCAACATTCAGGGCTATAAAAGCAAGAGAGGAAACAGTTAAAATTCAGTACGACGAAAACATCCTAAAGGGAAAGATGTGACCAAAATTTTCCCAAAAAGTCGAAAAAAGTAGAAAAAATCGGTTGAAATATTAAGGGTTGTTGTAAAATTGTTTTAGCAAGTGTTTGGTAAAGTTTATAGAACTTGTTGTGCAAAGGTCTTAAAAAATTAGTTGATTTTTTTGTCCCAAAAGTGTGTTTGTAAAAATTTTATTGTGACAAATTTTGGTGCAAAAATTACTAAAAGATTGTTGAAACTTTGAAGTTTAAGGACATCCAAAAAAATTTGGACAAAATTTTGTGTGCAATCGAAAATAAGTGTTCAAAATTTTGCGGTAGCATATAAGTTTCCACAAATTTTAACAAAGTTCTAAGTGCTTGAATTTTTTGGCAAAAATTACCAAAAAATTGGTGAAACATCAAAGTTTATGGACGTATAAAAATTAACACCAAAATTGTACCCAAAATATTTATAAAAATACTTAAATACTTTGAATTTTTTGCGTGTGGGTTTTCAGAGACGTGCAAGATTAAAAATTATTTTTAACAAAGTTCTAAGTGCTTAAATTTTTTGGCAAAACTTACCAAAAAAATTGGTGAAATATCAAAGTTCATGGACATATAAAAATTAACGCCAAAATTGTACCCAAAACATTTATAAAAAGTATCCAAAAGTACTTAAATTAAAAATATTGTACAAAATTAAAAATTATTTTTAACAAAGTTGTCAGTGCTAGATTTTTTTAATAAAAACCACTAAAAATTGGTGGATTATTCACATTTTTGGACAAATATAAATTAACGCCAAAATTTTACCCAAAATATTTGAAAAAAATCTAAGAACAATCGTAATAAACACTTTCTAATGCAAAGTGTTAAAAAAATTAAAATAATTGTAACAAATTTACCGGTGTCCAATTTTTTTTCAGAAAAACTATTAAAAATTGGTGCAAGTTTTTTGTCACTCAAAATTAATTCCAAAATTTAAAAAAATAATGCCAAAATTTAACGCAAAAGCTTGATAAATAATCTAAAGCTAGATAAAAATTAGTGCTTTCTAAAATTATTTCATTATTTCATTTTTGGATAAAAATTATCCAGAAATTGGTGAAATATTCAAAATTAAGATTATCTAAAAATATTGTGCAAAAATTTTGTGTAGAATTTAAGAAACGTGTAAAAATTGCATTCGCGCCTTTTTTTGTGAAATTAAGATAAAGTGTTTTTAAAATTGTGACAAAAATACCAAAAATATCTTTAAATACTCAAAATATTGGCTACTTAAAAATTTACTCTAAAATTTGATTGAAAAAGTAAAATAAAGTTTGTAAATAATTTTTATTAAAAATCGTGAGAAAATTTTGGACAAATTTGGATAAATAATAAATTTTAAACAATTTTTGTGACAAAAATATCAAAAAAATCTTTAAATATCCAAAATATTGGTTAAAAACTTACTCTAAAATTTGATACTAAATATTTTAAAATCTGCAAAATAAAATAAAGTTTGTAAATGATTTTCCAAATCGTGTGAAAATTTTGGATAAATTTGGATAAATCTTGATTTGAAATCCAAGATCAATAAATTTTAATAAAAGTTTCCACAAAATTAAGTGGTTACCCGCATAATTTTCCCCTTCAGACAAATCATCAAGGTTGTGCTTAAAAAGTTCCTTTTAGATTTAATATTTTAGACTAGTAGTGCCAAAAAAATGGACACCCACCAAGTGCGCCGTCACTGACTTCTTCCAAATATTTACCTAAAATATTATCTCATCTTATAAACAAAACCATCATCAAAAACAATGGCTAATGTTTATACAATCTTTTTTCTCGTCGTCTTCTGTTTATTCAATCTTTGTGATTCTTTCAAACTGGACTACCAAGATAAAACTGGTTTTAAATTACCAGAGATAAGCAGAAGACTTATCGATCAAACGATACCGACACCAGAAATCGATAACGAATCGATACAGAGGAAAAAAATCGACGTGGACAAGGAGCAGTCGATTTTGAAAATTTTGAGTGTCGCAGCAGCTGATGAAAATAATAATAATGGGGTTGAAGATTCTATGGAGAGAAGTACGCAGAAGATTGTTGAGAAAATTGTCAGATCTAGTGATGGTAAAGGATCGTCTTTGGTGGTTCAGCAAAACCAGGATGATGGTAATCGCAAAAGTGATAAAAGTAAAAACTTGGTAGAGTGCAAAGTGTTGATCACGACTCCTTGTCCTAGCAAGTGCCAACAAAAAAAATTACGACAATCGGTAGCCAAAAGGTTGCCCAACAAAGATAATAACCAGAATGACCAAGTTGGTGAAGTACAAAGTGTTGATCACGATTCTGGTGTCCTAGCAAGTGCCAACATAAAACAAGTGATGACAATCGGTGGCGAAAAAGTTGCCCAACAAAACACCATCACAAATTTTGCTAACCAAGATGACCAAGTTGATAAAGTGCAAAGGGTTGACCACGATTCCGGGCTCCTAGGAAGCACCAACAAAAACCAAGTTATGACAAACGGTAGCCAAAAGGTTGCCCAACAAAACACCATCACAAATTTTGCTAACCAAGATGACCAAGTTGATAAAGTGCAAAGGGTTGACCACGATTCCGGGCTCCTAGGAAGCACCAACAAAAACCAAGTTATGACAAACGGTAGCCAAAAGGTTGCCCAACAAAACACCATCACAAATTTTGCTAACCAGAATGACCAAGTTGGTAAAGTGCAAAGGGTTGATCACGATTCCGGAGTCCTAGCAAGTGCCAACAAAAACCAAGTAGTGACAATCGGTGACCAAAAGGTTGCCCAACAAAACACCATCACAAATTTTGCTAACCAGAATGACCAAGTTGGTAAAGTGCAAAGTGTTGGCCACGATTCCGGTGTCCTAGCAAGTGCCAACAAAAACCAAGTGATGACAATCGGTGACCAACAGGTTGTCCAACAAAACACCATCACTAAACCAGTCGATGTTGACCAACCTGCTGACCTTTTTACCACATCCAAAAATCTTTTTACCCCTTATTATCGCGAAGGGTTGAGGTTGCTTCTCCAGCGCATCTTAGAAAAGGATGATAATCGAGATAAGAAAAAGCTATTTTCCGCTGAAGATTTCCATAAGAGCATTTTGCCGGATATCCGACGAGAAAATCTGAATGTGAATTTTAATGCAGCAGGTGGGAAAAAGGAGCACCAGGAGCAGGAGGAGCAGGAGGAGTCGGCGCAGACGCAAAAGGTAATTAGAGAGGATTTTTTCCGTATTTTTATTTTTTGCAAAAGAATTTTATACGGATGAATTATAGATGGTAATAGAAGATTTTACAAGGCTTTAAAATAGTTAAGAACGTTTCGATACTAATTTTTGCATTTCTCAACGTTTTGAAGGTTTCTGAACATTTTGGCATACCCCAGAAACTAAATGGATGTGTGTGTGTATGTGTGTGTAGCGGATACAATCTTTCGTTAACGATTTCAGGGGCATAGATTAACCCGATTCGAATGATTCATTTACCATTCGATCCCTATTGATAGGGAGATGTGCTGATTAGTTTTTGGCAAACGCAGGTCCAGCCGTTACGGAGATATAGAGCAAAGAGTGCAGAAAATACAAATCGAGTTTTTGAGAGAACGGAGTATCCGATTTCAATGATCTAAAAAACATTCAATTTGTAATGATTGGGGGAAGAGGTGATTAATTTTTGGCAAAGGCAGATCCAACGGTTTCGGAGATACAGAGCTAAATGTGCAAAAAATGGCAGTTTTTGAGTGAACTAAGCGTCCGATTTGAATGATTTAAAAAACTTTCTGCTTGTACTGACAAAATAATTGTTTTTGAGGATAAACAAATTATTACATTCTTTTTTTATTTTGCAAAAAATATTTTTGTAATTTTTGATCAAAAATTCAAAAAATTACCCAGGCTAAGCACAGTCTAAGCGCCACCCTGGTACAAATGTTTACCCAAGTGCGTTTAGACTGTTTATGTAATGGAGCATTTTCCATTTTGTGAAAACTAATGAAAAATGTGAAAATGCCGCCAAGCTAAGCACAGTATAAGTGAACAAGTCGCACAGAATTATTTGCAAATGCGTTTAGACTGTGACTATACGGGAGCACTTTTTCAATTTTGTGTAAATTAGTGTATAACTTTTTCAAATTTCAATTATTTTTAACAATTTTTGTAGTGAACGAATATTCTTCAAATATTTTTTTAAAAATTCCTGAAATATCTAAGTATATTCTCATATATTTTTTAATTAAAAAAATATTTTCAAAATATTTATAAAAATACATAAAGCCGGAATTTGAAACCCAATCATCTGTATAATGAACAATAGTACTAATTCCACAGTTGAATCGTTTTCGATTCAATTAAAATCTGAATAATTGATATATATATATATATATATATATATATATATATATATATATATGTATATATAATTTATGAATCATATAATAATTTTGCAAAATTGCATTTAAAATAATTTATCTCATTTAGGTTGAACATATAGTACAGCTTCAAATTCGAGTAGGTACATTTTCGGACATTTTATTTAATAACTCAAAAACTAGAAATAGTATCAAAATTTGTTACGTTTTATTAAAAATCTCGAATTACGTTTTATTAAAAATCTCGAAAAATGCTTATTGTACATTAAATAAATATTAGAAAAAATTGAAGTCTATAAAATTTGAAACAATTTCTTCTAATAAACTTAATATAAATTTAGCATATTTGAAGAAATACAATAATTCAAAAAGCTAAACGTGTACAGATCAAAAATTGTTTGTGCCAATTGAAAAATTGTTTTTGTCAATTGAAAAAACGTGCGCGTTTCTTACGTTTTGTCAAAAATCTCGAAAAATATTATTGTAAATTAAATAAATATTAGAAGAAATTAAAGCCTATAAAATTTATAACAATTTCTTCTTACAAACCCAATAAAAATTTTGCGCTTTTCCCCAAA